TTTGATGGGGTTTCAGTGCATTTCAGGCCTGGTTCACACCAATACAGTTTGTGCTTTGTATGTTTTGCGTTTTTTGCAAGCCCGTCTTTTATGCATTTTTTGATGCGGTTTCCAATTTTGTTTTTTTGGCCAACTTGTTGCTGGGCAGATAAACACAAAATGCATCAAAAGCGCAACACGTGTGTTTTTTATGCGTTTTCGATGCATTTCAGGCCTGGTGCACACCAATGCAGTTACCGTTTAGCAATGCTTTTTGTGTTTTTGCACACGTATTTGCATGCACATTTTTACCCGTTTTTTGATGTTTTCCGGTTTTTTAATTTTTTTTGCCAACTTGTGGCTGGGAAGATTAAAAACGCAAAACGTTTTGTGTTTTCAATGCATTTCAGGCCTGGTTCACACTAATGCAGTTTGCATTTTGTCTGTTTTGCAGTGCGTTTTTGCACGCTTGTTTTTGACATTTTTAGATGCGTTTTTGAATTTTGTTTTTTCTGGCCAATTTGTTGCCGGGCAGATTAAAAACGCAAAATGCATAAAAACGCAACAGGTGTGTTTTTGTTGCATTTTCAATGCATTTGAGGGCTGGTTCACAACAATGCAGTTTGCGTTTTGTCTGTTTTGCAGTGCGTTTTTGCACGTACATTGTTGACACCTTTTTTTTATGCGGTTTGTGCATACAAATGCATAAAAAATGAGGCAAACGCATGAAACTGTGGCACAAAATGCACTACATGTGTTTTCTGCAGCGTCTCCAATGAAGTCTATTGAACCAATATACTTCTGCAAAAAGCCCTATAAAATGCATTGGTGTAAACCAGGCCTCAATGGGGAGGTGCATTTTTGGTGCATTTTTTTTTTTTTTTGTTTCTTTTTAACTCACTAAATTTGCACCAAAAATGTGGCAAGCAGGATTTTTTATCACTGCAATGGGAAGCACAAAAGATCAGTGTGAAGTCATTGAATTTAAAGGGATGCATTTTTCTTGAGCCCTTCTTTTTTCTTTTTTTTTTTTTCCTTTTAATGCAAAAGCGCTGCAAAAACCGCTCATATATTTTATATAAAAAAAAACTGTCCATTTCAGTTTTGGTTTTCGGCCAAATGCATCCTGAAAGTTCGGTTTTGGTCCAAAAATTTTCATTTCGGTGCACCATTAGTAACAACCCTTCAACTTCTGAAAATATTGAAGTTTGCGAGGGGGATTAATAACATTCGGTGCCACCAGATTTCTCAGAGATGGAGCACCTCTATACACCACATTTAGTCTATAAGTCTAGATGTGCAAAGTTACTAGAGACAAATCCCAACAAACTGAATGCTACAATTAAAGCAAAAGGTGGTTCAACAAAACACTGACACAAGCGGGTGATTGTTTTTTCCAACTTCGTGATTCTGCTTTTGAATTATTTTTTTTCTGGCATGTTGGTGTTATATCTTTCACTTAGATGTTATAAGTTGCCCTGAGTAAATAAACACAGCTGGATAAAAAAAAAAAAAACTGTTTCAGGCTGCAAAGCAACAAAATGTGATTATTTTAAAGGGGGCGATTATTTTCTATACCCACTGTACATGTGAGTGCAGTGTAAGTGTAAAGTTTTATATGGTTTAATAAAGTCAGCTGCTTTGCGCAACAAATCTTCAACCTGATACTGTTTTTTGAGTGGTGGTGTATTGCATTGTAAGAAATCGCATCGTGGTACATGTGAATGGTTAAGTTTTGACAAATTGCACAGCGAGTCCAATCAAAAAAGTGCAGTTAGACCTATCTATTAATAGAAGGTCCATCCATTGTGATAAGTGTACATCTACGTGGAGTCACCTGGAAGTGGTCACATGTTTATGTTACAAATAGCACCAGCACCTGTTTACCTACCTTTTGTTTTTCAAGTAACTATTATCTGAATGGGACTTATTGATCCATTGGACATAAGTTGTATTTTCTGGTGTTGGTCATTTATCTATTTTGTGCACGTTAACATGCGGCAAACTGTTTAGTAACCTTGATTCACATTTTTGGCACCACAGTCTACACACACCTATATAGGACAGACTGAATATAGTAGACCAATCTATCATCTACCAGTTAATTGGCCTGTTTAGATTCCCGTATTTCCCTGTGTATATTGCCTCATTAAAGCTTGAAATTTTAGTTTCACCCAAAGAAGATCAGCCATAACATTATGACCACTGACCGATAAAGTGAATAACATGAATTATTTTGTTATAATGGCATCTGAAAGTCCGTGGGATATATTAGGCAGCAAGTGAACATATTGTCACTAAAGTTGAAAGCAGCAAAAAGGGCAAGCATCGGGATTTGAGTGAATTTGAGAAGGGCCAAATTGTAATGGCTTGACAATTGGGTCAGAAAGTCTCCAAAACTGCAGCTTTTGTGGGATGTTCCCAGTCTGCCAAGGTTAGGACCTACCAAAAGTGATCCAAGAAAAGAAAACTAGCAAACTGACAAGGTCATGGGTGGCCAAGGCTCATTGATACACGTGGGGAGTAAAAGCTGACCCAATGAAATAGAAGAGCTACAGTAGCTCAAATTGCTGAAAATGTTCATGTTGGTTACGATAGAAAGGTGTCAGAACACACAGTGCATCACAGTCTGTTGCATATAAGGTTGCATAGCTACAGACCTGTCAGGGTGCCCATGATGATCCGTGTCTACAGCAAAAGTCGCCTACAATGGATACATGGGCATCAGAACTGGACCACAGAGCAATGGAAGAAGGTGTCCTGGTCTGCTGAATTTAAGAATGGTTTGAATAACACGTGTTTACTTGGCCTCCAAATTCTCCAGATCTCAATTCATTGGAGCTTCTGTGGGATGTGCTGGAAAAATAAGTCATATCTATCAAGGCCCCAAATCCAACTTAGAGGACTTAAAGCAGGGGTCCTCAAACTCCGGCCCGCGGGCTGCAACCGGCCTGCCAAAGTTATTTACCCGCCCGAAAGGAAAGAAAAAAAAAAAAAAACTGGCACCGGCAAATAGCTAGGCTGTGACTTCAGGCTGATTTCTCTGCAGCCAGAGGAGCAACAGGAGAGGAGGAGAGCAGCACACCTGGTACAGAGCATTACAGGGTACAGTGCGTTACAGTGTACAGTGCGTTACAGTGTACAGTGCGTTACTGTGCATTGCGGTATCCAGTGCGTTACAGAGTACAGTACATTGTGGTGTGCAGTGTGTTACGGTGTCCAGTGCGTTACAATGCAATACGGTGTCCAGTGCGTTACAATGCAATGCGGTGTCCAGTGCGTTACAGAGTACAGTGCATTGTGGTGTCAGGTGCGTTACAGTGCATTGTGGTGTCCAGTGCGTTACATAGTACAGTGCATTGCGGTGTCAGTGTGCGTTACAGCATACAGTGCATAGTGCTTTGAGGTGTCAAGTGTGTTACAGTGCATTGCGGTGTCCAGTGCGTTACAGAGTACAGTGCATTGATGTGTCAAGTGCGTTACAGTGCATTGCGGTGTCCAGTGCGTTACAGATTACAGTGCATTGCGGTGTCCAGTGCGTTACAGATTACAGTGCATTGCGGTGTCCAGTGCGTTACAGATTACAGTGCATTGCGGTGTCCAGTGCGTTACAGATTACAGTGCATTGTGGTGTCCAGTGCGTTACAGATTACAGTGCATTGTGGTGTCCATTGCATTACAGTATACAGTGCATTACACTGTACAGTGCATTTTGGTGTGCAGTGTGTTACAGTGTACAGTGCATTATGGTGTCCAGTGCGTTAGTGTACAGTGTGTCCATTGCATTGCAGTGCATTGTGTTGTCCAGTGCATTACAGTGCATTGCTATTTCCAGTGCATTTCAGTGTACAGTGCATTGTGGTGTCCAGTGCGTTCCAATGTGCAGTGCATTGCAGTGTCCAGTGCGTTCCAATGTGCAGTGCATTGCAGTGTCCCGTGCGTTCCAATGTGCAGTGCATTGCAGTGTCCAGTGCGTTCCAATGTGCAGTGCATTGCAGTGTCCAGTGCGTTCCAATGTGCAGTGCATTGCAGTGTCCAGTGCGTTCCAATGTGCAGTGCATTGCAGTGTCCAGTGCGTTCCAATGTGCAGTGCATTGCAGTGTCCAGTGCGTTCCAATGTGCAGTGCATTGCAGTGTCCAGTGCGTTCCAATGTGCAGTGCATTGCAGTGTCCAGTGCGTTCCAATGTGCAGTGCATTGCAGTGTCCAGTGCGTTCCAATGTGCAGTGCATTGCAGTGTCCAGTGCGTTCCAATGTGCAGTGCATTGCAGTGTCCAGTGCGTTCCAATGTGCAGTGCATTGCAGTGTCCAGTGCGTTCCAATGTGCAGTGCATTGCAGTGTCCAGTGCGTTCCAATGTGCAGTGCATTGCAGTGTCCAGTGCGTTCCAATGTGCAGTGCATTGCAGTGTCCAGTGCGTTCCAATGTGCAGTGCATTGCAGTGTCCAGTGCGTTCCAATGTGCAGTGCATTGCAGTGTCCATTGCGTTCCAATGTGCAGTGCATTGCAGTGTCCAGTGCGCAATGTGCAGTGCATTGCAGTGTCCAGTGCGTTACAGTGCACAGTGCATTTTGATGTCCAGTACGTTACAGTGTCAAGTGCTTTTTAGTCTCCAGTGTGTTAAAGTGTACAGTGCATTTTGGTGTACAGTGCATTGTGGTGTCAAGTACGTTACAGTACATTTTAAATATTGTATTTTCCAGGTTTTTTTGCACTACAAATAAGATATATGCGGTGTGCATAGGAATTTGTTTATATTTTTTTCAAACTACAGTCCGGCCCCCCAATAATGTGAAGGTCAATGAACTGGCCCCTGTTTAAAAAGTTTGAGGACCCCTTGGTGTCAGATACCACAGCAAACCTTCAGAGTTCCAGGTTAGACCATGCCTCAACAGGTTATGGCGGGGGGTCATAATGTTATGGCTGATAGGTGCACATTTCCTCCTAACTTGCTGATTTCCAGTCTAATACAGGTTTTCAGTCCATGGGAGACATCCCAATCCAACTGATTTTGGTTGCTCACCTTTCCCAATTTCAACTGTTTAACAAAAGTAGTTTTCTGATCTTCTGCTAGCTGCCCATTTGTCCTTTCCTGAGCTTGTAACTGTAATAAAGTAAATAAAACATAAGATTTACATTACAGTTTAGCTATATCCAACTGGAATAAGCATTTTCCAGTATATGACAAACACGAATTCAAAAGAAACAGTATTCTATTTTCCTATTTTTCCCATTAAAAAAACTTTTATCCAAGACTGCAAAGCACCACACAGGTACAGAGATCTTGGACTTTCTGTCATGCTTTTTATCCTGGGAAAAAAAAAAAAAAAAAAAAAGGGAAGGATTATGCCTTATTTATATATTTTACTGTTAAAAACCACCATATCCCAAAAATTTTTATATTGGCACTGAAAAAGCTCTCCTTTTTGATAACAAAAAGGGATTTCTCATTTTATGCATGTTTCCTATATTAAAGATCAACATACATACCTGTAACACGTCAATATTTTGTACAACCATGGAAAAAATATCTATGCACTGCAACTCTTGTGAACATAAGTACCCATATAGTACACATTTGGATTTATACAGTGTACAACTTACTTTGGTACAATTTTCACAAACAACATCCTTAACACTCTCTGTGGATATGAAGTGTTGTAGGCAGTGGTCAAGTGTTATCGCACGACTCTGGTAAAATTAAAAAAAAAAAAATTAAAAACGGATTTTTTTAAAACATAAAGCAAATACGCTTGTTCATCAACACCACTATAGCAAAACACATCTCCTTCCCTCCCTCTTCCTTTAGTCAGCCCCTATATATTTTCAATCAGAGACAGAAAGTCTGAAACAACTTCTGTTGTTTCCCCAGAGTCTTGTGTCAACACTGAACTGAATATTCATTTGTAAATGATTACACGGATATAAAGGATAAAATTAAAGCGAAGCTCCACCCAAAAGGGGAAGTTCCGCTTTAAGCCTTGGGGGGTATCCGTATTTGACAGGTACCTGGTCCCAGTTCCACTGTGATCGCCTAGGCGATTGGAAGTGGAAGTTGTCTTCCCTCTCCATAGTCTTCTGGAAGGTGACAGGTCCCAGAAGACTGCTCCGTTCAAAAAGTGCAGCGCTTCTCACGCATGCGCAGTGGGCACCCAGCTGCAAGCTGTCACCGCTGGGTGCCCACACTGAAGATTCCGGGAGAGAAGACGGCCAGCGAAACCAGCGGTGATGAGGACACCGCTGGACCGAGGGACAGGTAAGTGGCTGTATTATAAGAGTCAGCAGCTACAATTTTTGTAGCTGCTATTTTTTTTTCAGGTGGAACCCCGCTTCAAATTAATCCTAAACCATTATAGCTTCTCTTTTAAAAGAAAAGAGACAGGAGGCGCCCATCGGAGTGTAGTAATAACACTGTATTGAGTCGCAAAGGATTAAAAACGCTCACAAAGGAAATAATAAAACAAGCTCATCTGTGTATATGAGAGATGACCTTTCCTTAAAACGTTCTGCAGGCGCCACCAATGGTTAGTGCACTAGCAGCTGGGCTGATGGTAAGAGACACTGTAGTGGTCAATCCTACAGAGTGGTGGTGTTGTAGAGCCGATCCAGTGGCATTTGTGCAGAAAGGAGCCTAGTAACAAGCCTGGAACCAGGTTTCAGGCTGGTTACTAGGCTCCTTCCTGCACAAACGCATTAATTTGCTATTCAATATAGTGTTATTACTACACTCAGATGGGTGCCTCCTGTCTCTTTTCTTCTGTCCCTGCATGCAGAGCTGGCTTGCTCCGAGGATGGCTGCCATCTTTTTGTTCTAAAAAGTTTCCAGGCAGATTGCCTGAGAGTCTCTTATAAGGACTTATTGTACACCCATGCATTTACATACCCTGTTTTAAAGTACTTGTATGCCAATATTTCCATTCTCATCTTCTACTTTATAATTTTTATCCTTTTCACCCTTACACTACTTTATACCTGTGCGCCAGAGTTACTCATTCTTTGCTTCTCTTCTAAAAAAAAAAAAAACTCACCTCCTCTCTCTGGCACTGTTCCCCTTGGTAATTAATTCCTGCCCCTAGATGTCCTCAGTCTTTCAGGTTGAATGACACCCTGAATTATTTAAACCTGAAGACTGAGGACATACAGTTAGCGCAGGATGTCATAGATCCACAACAGATTTCTGCGCTCACAGTAGAATGAGGCACTGACATTACCACATCAGCTCTGTTTATCAGTAAGGACTGTCCACTGTTGTAGAAGATGCTTTGAAAAAGGCCAACTTGATAAAAATTACCCCAAACCATTATAGTTTGCGTAAAAGAAGTATAGCAGAATACCTACCCATGCACCAGAAGGTATACTCAACGACAGACTGTCAAAGGTGTCATATCGCATAGGACTCTACATGAAAAATTAGAATTTACATGAAAAGCTATTTGATCTAAAAAAAGTTATAATGCCACTGACAAAGGTTAATCTAAATAGAATGATTGTATGGGATTTTTAAAAAGACACATTCTTACCTGATTCTGACAGTTCTTGCAAACCATGTTACTAGTCAATCTTCCATGGAAAGGGTGGTGAGTTTTCCAATGTCTAGGGATAGGGTTTATCATGCCTAGAAGAGAATAAAATCTTACAACTTTTCCCAGTCTGATAGAAAAGTTTTAGTGAGCAAAGTTAGGATGACCAAGTCTATATAGGCGATGATCCAAAATCAGGAATAGAGTGCAATTTGCAGGCCTTGTAGGTCTTCCCCAGGGCAAAAAGGAGTTCTTGAAACCATGAACAGTGATTACACAGAGACATATTTTGAACTTGTTGAAAAATAAACTGCACTATGTGGGCACTGTTAACTAATTTATAAATGCAAAACAACAGCAACAGAATTCACAGAGCAACTGTTTTAGCTGGACACAGAGACACATTCAGTGATAGTAAGCAGCAGACAGTAACAGCGCATTATTCAGCTTTTGGAATATTTCCACATTTGGAAATGCATGATGTGGTTACAGATTAATGACTATTTGCTTTCAGCTTTGTAAAAGAAAAGCCAGTGTTGTTCTAAGTAAGGTTGAAGATGATGTAATTGACTTTTGATCTCACAAACATACAACACAAGAGATGGCTGCAGGTAATGGACCTTGCTTTGAACTGGACTGGAACGATTCTGAAGCTGCCACTTCTGTAACTAAATGTAACTGATCATTTATTGTCAAAAATACGTGAATCAAAAACTTTCAATTGTGTGTACTTTGTATGGCATAGTCAGAATATCTTTAACCACTAAGCTCCGGAATATTTTACCCCCTTCATGACCAGGCCATTTTTTTCTATTTAGTACTGTGCTACTTTAACTGGTATTTGTGCAGTCATGCAACACTGTACCGAAACAAAAATTATATAATTTTTTCATACAAATAGAGCTTTCTTTTGGTGGTATTTGATCACCACTGGATTTTTTTTTATGTTTTGCATTATAAACGAAAAAAAGACCGTAAATATTGAAAAAAAAAAAAATACTATATTTTTTACTTTCTGCTACAAATCTTATCCAATAAAAAAAGAAAGACGTGAATCAAATGTCTTCATAAATTTTGGCCAAAATGCATTCTGCTACATGTCTTTGATAAAAGCAATCCCAATAAGTGTACATTTATTGGTTTGCGTGAAAGTGCCTACAAACTATGGTATATATATTGGATTTTTTTTTTTTATACTACTAATGGTGGTGATAAATCGACTTATATTGGGACTGCAATAATGCGACAGGCGATCTGACACGAATTGATGTTGGGAGGAACTGACTAACTGCCACAGACATCACCAGTGACATTAATACAGTGATCAGTGATAATACTATACATGGCCAATGTACTGACACTAGCCTGGAAGGGGTTAACATCTAGGGCGATCAAAAGGGGCTAAAGTGATTCTAAAGGCTTATTTAAAGGAAAAAAAAAAATAACAAACATGTCTATACTTACCTGCTGTGCACAGTGGTATTGCACAGAGCAGCCCAGATCCTCCTTTTCTCGGGTCCCCCGCAGGTCCTGCTTTTCAGGGATGAGAAAAACAGAAATGACAACACAGAGCTCTGGGCTGTGATTGTAGACAGCCGATCAGCAGATCTTGGCTGTGAATCATTGGCCGAGACTTGCTGACAGGCTCCTGCTGTGTACATGCGCGCGCGCGCGCCCCAAACCCGGAAGCAGACAACAACCTATGGGTATGTGACTTTGCCTGTGTGGGCTGCCCATCCGCAGTACATTGTGAGCGGGCGGTTTGCAAGTGGTAAACTTTCATACATTACATGGTACACTGCAGCCAGGTTGTGCAGCATGCTGCAACAATCCCGCCTGACTTTACCTCCCTTTATTCTCACTGAAATACCTAAACATAAATAACCACCTTTTGACAGACTGCCCTACTTCAGTTGCCACATCATTTCAGCTGATATGTAATAAACAAAAGAATTCCTAGACTGAGCATTACCCACCTTGGGTTCTGCAGTGAATCTGTTGTTCACAAACTGGGGTGACCTGAAATGAAAGTATTCTTGAACATTTCTATACAAGTTAAATTATGGCCATAAAAATGCTTTATTATTTGAAAAATTCAATAAAAATTGTTAATTATAAAAATATATATAGATATATAGATATATATATCTATATTTGTTTTTGTGCTTTGTTGAAATCAGTTAATCATACTTAAACGAGACAGCAGAACATGGTGTCCACAACACAATGTTTAGTATGTAGTGAAAAAACGTCTGTGCCCCCAACGCTGGGAGATATAATCTACACAAAAAGTGACAAAATAGTGCTCCGTGTCCACACATATAAAAATACAAATAAAAAGTCAAAACATAGTGAATATAATAGAAATAAATCATACACACACACACACACCTCGAAAAATTAGAATATTACATGCAATCAATAAAACAAGGATTGTACATAGAACAATATCGGACCTCTGAAAAGTATAAGCATGCATATGTACTCAGTACTTGGTTTGGGCCCCTTTTGCAGCAATTACTGCCTCAATGCGGCGTGGCATGGAAGTTATCAGCCTGTGGCACTGCTGAGGTGTTATGGAAGACCAGGATGCTTCAATAGCGGCCTTCAGCTCTTCTGCATTGTTCGGTCTCATGTCTCATCTTTCTCTTGGCAATGCCCCATAGATTCTCTATGGGGTTCAGGTCAGGTGAGTTTGCTGGCCAATCAAGCACAGTAATCCCATGGTCATTGAACCAGGTTTTGGTGCTTTTGGCAGTGTGGGCAGGTGCCAAGTCCTGCTGGAAAATGAAGTCAGCATCCCTATAAAGCTTGTCTGCGAAAGGAAGCATGAAGTGCTCCAAAATCTCCTGGTAGACGGCTGCATTGACCCTGGACATAATGAAGCACAGTGGACCAACACCAGCAGATGACATGGCTCCCCAAATCAACACAGACTGTGGAAACTTCACACTGGACTTCATGCATCTTGCAGTGTGTGCCTCTCCATTCTTCCTCCATACTCTGGCTCCTTGGTTTCCAAATGAGATGCAAAAGTTGCTCTCATCAGAAAAGAGGACTTTGGACCACTGAGCAACAGACCAGGTCTGTTTTTCTTTAGCCCAGGTAAGACGCTTCTGACGTTGTTTGTTGTTCAGGAGCGGCTTGACAAGAGGAATACACATTTGAAACCCATGTCCAGGATCCGTCTGTGTGTGGTGGCTCTTGATGCACTGACTCCAGCCTCAGTCCACTCCTTGTGAAAGTCCCCAACACTTTTGAATGGCCTTTTCCTGACAATCCTCTCCAGGCTGCGGTCATCCCTGCTGCTTGTGCACCTCTCTCTTCCACACAACTTTCTATTAATATGCTTTGATAAAGCACTTTGGGAACATCCAACTTCTTTTGCAAATACCTTTTGAGCCATTCCCTCCTTATGGAGGGTGTCAATGATGGTTTTCTGCACAACTGTCAGGTCAGCAGTCTTTCCCATGATTGTGATTCCTACTGAACCAGACAGAGACCATTTAAAGGCTCAGGAACCCTTTGGAACCTCATGTATGGGTGTACTTGCATGGGTTCATCTGAGAGTCCAAAGATGGTGTCAGCGCCGGAAGTGACATCACCTTCCGGCGCGGACGCCATCTTTGGACTTTTGGATGAACCCATGCAAGTACACCCATACATGAGGTTCTAAAGGCTATGTACAAGATGATCAACAATGTGAGTGTTATGGTTGCATTTGATTTTTCTGCTTAATAAAGGGTATCACACTATAGAGGTTCTTTCTCTTTATGGATTACTTGAGAGCTGGTCATACTGATTAGAGCCATTTAAGAAAGGGGAAATCGAGCTGGTCCCTGGGATGGAAGACATATGCTGTGTCTGCTAGTGTAAAATTCTCTGGAAGATATGTTTTGATATAGGAGATCCAGGAGTGAACCAAAAGGCCTGTAGGCCCTTTTAGGGTCACAGTAAGGAGGTGAGGAGCCAATCTAGCTGTGTGTGGAGTCATCACCAGAGGCCACAACGCACAAGAATCACCTACATGTTTAATTTACAGTATTGTTGTGGACACTGGTGTCACATATCATTATATATACAGGTGAAACTCGAAAAATTTGAATATCGTGCAAAAGTTAATTTATTTCATAATGCAACTTAAAAGGTGAAACTAATATATGAGATAGACTCATTACATGCAAAGCAAGATAGTTCAAGCCATGATTTGTCATAATTGTGATGATTATGGCTTACAGCTCATGAAAACCCCAAATCCACAATCTCAGAAAATTAGAATATTGTGAAAAGGTGCACTATTCTAGGCTCAAAGTGTCCCACTCTAATCAGCTAATTAAGGCATAACACCTGCAAAGGGTTCCTGAGCCTTTAAATGGTCTCTGTCTGGTTCAGTAGGAATCACAATCATGGGAAAGACTGCTGACCTGACAGTTGTGCAGAAAACCATCATTGACACCCTCCATAAGGAGGGAATGGCTCAAAAGGTAATTGCAAAAGAAGTTGGATGTTCCCAAAGTGCTTTATCAAAGCATATTAATAGAAAGTTGTGTGGAAGAGAGAGGTGCACAAGCAGCAGGGATGACCGCAGCCTGGAGAGGATTGTCAGGAAAAGGCCGTTCAAAAGTGTTGGGGACTTTCACAAGGAGTGGACTGAGGCTGGAGTCAGTGCATCAAGAGCCACCACACACAGAAGGATCCTGGACATGGGTTTCAAATGTGTATTCCTCTTGTCAAGCCGCTCCTGAACAACAAACAAAGTCAGAAGCGTCTTACCTGGGCTAAAGAAAAACAGACCTGGTCTGTTGCTCAGTGGTCCAAAGTCCTCTTTTCTGATGAGAGCAACTTTTGCATCTCATTTGGAAACCAAGGAGCCAGAGTATGGAGGAAGAATGGAGAGGCACACACTGCAAGATGCATGAAGTCCAGTGTGAAGTTTCCACAGTCTGTGTTGATTTGGGGAGCCATGTCATCTGCTGGTGTTGGTCCACTGTGCTTCATTATGTCCAGGGTCAATGAAGCCATCTACCAGGAGATTTTGGAGCACTTCATGCTTCCTTTCGCAAACAAGCTTTATGGGGATGCTGACTTCATTTTCCAGCAGGACTTGGCACCTGCCCACACTGCCAAAAGCACCAAAACCTGGTTCAATGACCATGGGATTACTGTGCTTGATTGGCCAGCAAACTCACCTGACCTGAACCCCATAGAGAATCTATGGGGCATTGCCAAGAGAAAGATGAGAGACATGAAACCGAACAATGCAGAAGAGCTGAAGGCCGCTATTGAAGCATCCTGGTCTTCCATAACACCTCAGCAGTGCCTCAGGCTGATAACTTCCATGCCACGCCGCATTGAGGCAGTAATTGCTGCAAAAGGGGCCCAAACCAAGTACTGAGTACATATGCATGCTTATACTTTTCAGAGGTCCGATATTGTTCTATGTACAATCCTTGTTTTATTGATTGCATGTAATATTCTATTTTTTTTTCGAGGTGTGTGTGTGTGTGTGTGATTTATTTCTATTATATTCACTATGTTTTGACTTTTTATTTGTATTCTGATATGAGTGTGTGGACACGGAGCACTATTTTGTCACCTTTTGTGTAGGTTATATCTCCCAGCGCTGGGGGCACAGAAGTTTTTTCACTATATATTTAACATTGTATTGTGGTCATCAATTTTTGTGTTATTATTTAGTATTTAACCATTTTGAGTTATTTGTTTACACTGTTTGTTTCACCATTTGGCACATTATAATTCTCCGTTGGAGATTTTAATCACGGTTTGTGTTAGAGAGTGCTACACCAATTGTTTTGTATTTTTTGGTTTTTCACTTTAGGTAATAAGGTGCAGGTGTCAGCAGCTGATATAGGGTTATCAGGTCTGAGCGCAGGAGGTTTTTTCCCTTACAGAACATGGTGTGCCACACAACAGATTTGTATATAAATAGTACAACAAATCATTTAAATCTGAATACCTCCAAAGCATGGATGTCAAAGAGGTGTGTTACATGGGGGTGACCATCTCTCTCTTCTTCTAATGATGAGGTCAACACATGAAATAATTCATGTGCATCCTGTGTAAACAAAGAGCACAAAGTTATTAAAGCACAGTTTTGGGCCTTTTATCAAAGACAAAAGCATTCTTTTTCAAAGGACATCTGTAATAACAGATGGAACTAAACACTGCAAAGGAAGTTATTAGGATGAATTTATGTTAATTTGCAAGGGTGCTGGTAAAGCAGTATTAAACCCAAAACTAAAATATAATATATTTCAGTTTACCAATCATTAGATGTGGTGGTTGCATTAATTTTAATTTTTTAAGCTTTTTCCCCTCTGTTTTCACCTGCTAATTTGGCCAGTAACACACCTCTTGTACTACAGTGCCCCCACTCTGGATGAAGGAGCACAGCGGCGCCACTGGACAGCAGCATTGTTAATCTTGCTTCTTAGATGTACTAGCAGATTTAGATACATCAAGAAATTGAAAATGAACTCAGGCTAACACCTTTATAAACATTTACAGCAACAGTTTTTTTCCCTTTTGGGATAAAAGTATTTATATAACATATAGACACAGCTCAAAAAAATGAAAGGAACACTTTTTAATCAGAGTATAGCATCAAGTCAATTAAACTCCTGGGATATTGAGCTGGTCAGTTAAGTAGAAGAGGGGGTTGTTAATCAGTTTCAGCTGCTTTGGTGTTAAAGAAATTAACAACAGGTACACTAGATGTGCAACAATAAGACAACGAACAGGATCGTTTTTACAGGTGGAGGCCACTGACCTTTTTTTCCCTACTCATCTTTTCTGTTTTTCACTAGTTTTGCATTTGGATAGGGTCAGTGTCACTACTGGTAGCATGGAGACGATACCTGGACCTTACAGAGGTTGCACAGGCAGTCCAACTCCTCCAGGATGGCACATCAATATGTGCCATTACCAGAAGGTTTGCTGCATCTCCCAGCACAGTCTCCAGAACATGGAGGGGATTCCAGGAGACAGACAGGGATGTAGAAGGTCCTTAACCCATCAGCAGGACCAGTATCTGCTCCTTTGTGCAAGGAGGAACATGATGAGCACTGCCAGAGCCCTACAAAATGACCTCCAGCAGGCCACTGGTGTAAATGACTCTGACCAAACAATCAGAAACAAAACTTCATGAGGGTGGCCTGAGGGCCCAACGTCCTCTAGTGGGTCCTGTGCTCACTGCCCGGCACCATAAAGCTCGATTGGCATTTGCCATTGAACACGAGAATTGGCAGGTCTGCCACTGGCACCCTGTGCTTTTCGCAGATGAGAGCAGGTTCACCCTGAGCACATGTGACAGACATGAAAGGGTCTGGAGAAGCCATGGAGAACGCTATGCTGCCTGTAAAATCGTTCAGCATGACCGTTTTGGTGATGGATCAGTGATGGTCTGGGGAGGCATATCCATGGAGGGACGCACAGACCTCTACAAGCTAGACCAGGGGTACAGAATTAAAATTCATGGAGGTCTGACCAGTAAAATTTTCTATCAACAGAGATCCAACCGCATTTTTTTTCAGGCCTCTCCTACTGTATATTACAATCCTTCTACTTCAGTGTCCTCAGCCCCCCCCGTACACGTCACAGTCCCCCACTTCATGTCAGTTTCACCTTCACAGTAGTGTTCTCAGGCCCCCTGTACATCACCCCCACCCACCCCTTTACAATACACACCCATTATTTTCAGAAGTCCTCAACCCCCCTTCAAATCATCACCCCCACCCCATACTTCTGTCCTCTGCCCCCTTCACATTTGTACCCCACTCTACTGTCCTCTTCCCCTTCACATAACCCCCAGCAGAACTGTGCCCCCTTCACATCCCCCCACAATACTGCCCCCTTTACATCACCCCCACCACTACATGCACACAGCACTGCCCCTCTTCACATTGTGCCCCCCCCCTCCCCTTTACATCACACAAAGCCAGAGTAGTGTCCCTGGCCCCCCTTCACTCTCCTACCTTAGAGCGGAGAGCAGGAGGTGGAGCATTTCTGGATCAGGTGTGGGATGCACAGCCCATCATTGAACAGAGCCGCTTCTTCCCCCCCCATCCCCTGCTGCTGTTATAACAGCAGAGCGGACAGCATACAACAGTGGCTAGGTCCGCATACGGACCGTGGTCAGCCATTTAGTGATGCCTGGGCTAGACAATTGCACCCTGACTGCCAACAGATAACGGGGTGAAATCCTTGGGCCCATTGTCAGACCGTACGCTGGTGCAGTAGGTCCTGGGTTCCTCCTGGTGCATGACAATGCCCGGTCTCACGTGGTGTGAGTATGCAGGCAGTTCCTGGAGGATGAAGGAATTGATACCATTGAATGGCCCAATGCTCGCCTGACCTAATGCAATAGAACACCTCTGGGATATCATGTTGCGGTCCAACCAACGCAGCCAGGTTGCACCTCAGACTGTCCCAGGAGCTCAATGATGCCCTGGCCCAGATCTGGGAGGAAATACCCCAGGACACCATGGGGTTTATTTACTAAAGCTGGAGAGTCCAAAATCAGACTCCCTTCTGCATAGAAACCAATCAGCTTCCAGGTTTCATTGCCAAAGCCTCATTGAACAAGCTGAGGTTAGAAGCTGATTGGTTTCTATGCAGAAGGGAGTCTGATTTTGGACTCTCCGGCTTTAGTAAATAAACCCTCATGTGTTGTCTTATTAGGAGCATGCCCTGATGTTGTCAGGCATGCAGACAGGGACATGGGGGCCATTCAAGCTACCGAGTACCATTTTGAGTTGCTGCAATGAAATTTCAGCAAAATGGACTAGCCTGCTGCATCATTTTTTCACTTTGATTTTCGGGGTGTCTTTGAATTCAGTCCTCTGTAGGTTGATAATTTTCATTTCCATCAAACAATGAGGCATCCTTACGTTCCTAACACATTGCCCAGTCCATATCAGTATATATATCCAGCATGATATTTTTCCCCATTGAGATCTGATGAGTTTTCAAAGTGTTCTTTTAATTCTTTGAGCAGTATGTGTATGTGTGTATACAGTGCATCCAGAAAGTATTCACAGCGCTTAAGTTTTGCCACATTTTGTTATGTTACAGCCTTATTCCAAAATGGATTAAATTCAGAGACATGTTCTTTTATACCTCTGGAGTCATACTTCTCTGTCTGGCAATCCGATGAACGTGTCTGGGTTTGGCAGTTGCCAACGATACTAGCCTGACTGCATGAACAAGTGTAAAGTTTGGCTGGGTTTTGGCAGTCCCCTTGTTCCATGAGGGAATACTTAAGCCTGACAAGCATTTTGTGCCAAGTGTAAAGTTTCGAGGGAGATTAGTGTGGGGATGGCCCCTTTTTCAGGGGCATTGGGCTTGTCCCCTTAGTTCCAGTGAAGGGAATTCTAAGACGCTGGTCCATACCTCAACCCGACATTTTGGACAATTTCATGCTTCGTGGGAACAGTTAGGACTGGGATGGCCCTTCCTGTTCAAGCATGACTGCATACAAGTGCGCAAAAATGTCCATAAAGACATGGATGAGCGAGTTTGGGGTGGAGGAACTTGACTGGCCTGCACAGTCCTGACCTCAACCCGACAGGACATATATTGGAATGATATATATATACATATATATATATATCGCTTCTATGTCTATTTGTCTATGTGACAAAAAAGAAGAAGGTGCTAGCCCATTAAATCTATATGCAACAAATTTACCAAAAAAAGGGTAAATTTGTGTTATATCTAAAACATGACAGTAAATATCACATAACAGCATAACCAAACATGATTATTCCAATGTCCACGATAAATTTCGAAAGAAGTCCCAAACCACCAAAATCTTGAGAAAGGAAAATGGTAAAAAGGTGACCAATTCTTTTTCAAAAAAATTACCCAAATGTGCTCCATCACGTGATTAGGTGAATTGCCAAATCATAGCGGCCACAAAAGCATCCCACAAGCAGTATGGAAAAAAGGGTATCCACCGCTACGTTACATCCGGTCCAGGGAACACATGCCAGCTCTTAAAATACGAGTGGCGGTGTGCGGGATTGGATACCCCTAGTGAGCCATTTGTGTAGGTGTCCCCCTCTGGCACCTTTTACATGTGAGTGCATAGAAATCTTTACTTTTTATTCTGCCAGCTCACTAGGGGGATCCAATCCTACACGCCGCAGCTCGTATTTTAAGAGCTGGCGTGTGTTCCATGGACCAGATGTGACGTAGGGGTAGAGACCCTTTCTTCCATACTGCTTGTGGGCTGCTTTTGTGGCCGCTATGATTTGGTGAGTTGGCTATTCAGCTGATCACGTGGTGGAGCACATTTGGATTATTTTCTGAAGAAGAACTGATCACCTTTTATCATTTTCCTTTCTCAAGATTTTGGTGGTTTGGGACTTTTTTCTAAACTTGATGTGGACATTGGAATAATCACATTTGGTTATGTTATGTATATATATATATATATATATATATATATATATATATATGCCTTTCTTTTTGACACAATTCTTGTACAGATCCTAACTGAATGACATTTTGTTTGCTAAAGTACTGTGCATCAAACAACTGCTACCTACATGCAAACACTCCAGAATTAGCAAATGCCACATTTTAAGTAACTGGCAGAGCAAATATATCTAATTGTAGTAGCATTTCACTAACCTGCTCTTCAAAAGAAGAAATTTGCCACCTGTATGTCCGAAGAACATCAAGGAGAGGACTGGCATCTATCACCTCTTCCTCTGCAGCCTCCTGGTTAGATAAAGCTGAGGAAACAAAAGTAAATTTATACAGTGAGCACTGCATCTTGGGAGTAAGAAGAGAAGGCTACATAGTTCCCAGGATTTCTGAGGGTTCCTGCAAGGGAATGGCTCAGTAGAAATAGCATGACAAATTCAGTGTCAGTGGATAGGGGACTGGCCTAACAACTGAACATATTACTTTGGAAGAGATTTGCTGAGGATTCACCATGCCTGGAAACCAATGGTAAAACACAGGAGTTTTGCCCACAGTTGAAAACTGAACATGAAACCACAGGTATTAATGGATTTAGTTTAAAAAGCTGGTATGAAGCCCAGAAAACAGCTTAGCTCGAATATGGGATTATTTGAATTTAAAAATGAAAGCACAACGCAACTCTCTCAGTCAACATTAAAATGGTTGTAAAGGCAAAATGTTTTTTTTAACCTCAATGCATTCTCTGCATGAAGGTAAAAAAGCCTTCTGAATGCAGCTTCCCTTGCCACTTATACTTACTTGAGCCCGATCTCGATCCAGCTATGTGCACAGGAGCAGAGACTCTTTCAGCTCTCTACCTCCTAATTGGCTCAGACACAGCTGCAAGAGCTATTGGCTCCCGCTACTGTCAATCACAGCCAGTGAGAAGGGAGCGGGGGTCGAGCCACACTCTGTGAGTTTTATAGACACAAGAGGTGGCTCGGAATCGAGGACACAGGTGTGCCACAATAGGAAGCAGCATCCTATGGTGCACACCAAGAAGAGGATGAGCTAGAAGCGTTTTTTAGTTCTTGTGCCAAATGGTTGAGCATTGGCTTGTTGGATGGTGTTTAAAGTGGTTATAAAGGCAAAGACAGTGCTCAGTATACAGTGGGGATCGAAAGTTTGAGCACCCCAGCTAAAAATTTGTATTAATGTGCCTAAAGAAGCCAAGGAAAGATGGAAAAATCTCCAAAAGGCATCAAATTACAGATTAGACATTCTTATAATATTTCAACAAAAGTTAGATTTTATTTCCATCATTTACACTTTCAAAATAACAGAAAACAAAAAAATGGCGTCTGCAAAAGTTTGGGCACCCTGCAGAATTTATAGCATGCACTGCCCCCTTTGCCAAGCTGAGACCTGCCAGTGTCATGGATTGTTCTCAATCATCGTCTGGGAAGACCAAGTGATCTCAATCTCAAAGGTTTTAAATGCCCAGACTCATCTGACCTTGCCCCAACAATCAGCACCATGGGTTCTTCTAAGCAGTTGTCTAGAAAACTGAAACTGAAAATAGTTGACGCTCACAAAGCTGGAGAAGGCTATAAGAAGATAGCAAAGCGTTTTCAGATGTCAATATCCTCTGTTCGGAATGTAATTAAGAAATGGCAGTCATCAGGAACAGTGGAAGTTAAAGCAAGATCTGGAAGACCAAGAAAAATATCAGACAGAACAGCTCGCAGGATTGTGAGAAAAACAATTCAAAACCCACGTTTGACTGCACGATCCCTCCAGAAAGATCTGGCAGACACTGGAGTTGTGGTACACTATTCCACTATAAAGAGATACTTGTACAAATATGGTCTTCATGGAAGAGTCATCAGAAGAAAACCTCTTCTACGTCCTCACCACAAAAATCATCGTTTGAACTTTGCAAATGAACATATAGACAAGCCTGATGCATTTTGGAAACAAGTTCTGTGGACCGATGAGGTTAAAATTGAACTTTTTGGCCGGAATGAGCAAAGATACGTATGGAGAAGAAGGGGCACAGAATTTAATGAAAAGAACCTCTGTCCAACTGTTAAGCATGGGGTTGGATCAATCATGCTTTGGGGTTGTGTTGCAGCCAGTGGCACAGGGAACATCTCGCGAGTAGAAGGAAAAATGGATTCAATAAAATTTCAGCAAATTTTGGATGGTAACTTGATACCATCTGTGAAAAAGCTGAAGTTAAAGAGAGGATGGCTTCTACAAATGGATAATGATCCTAAACACACCTCGAAATCCACGGGGGATTACATCAAGAGGCGTAAACTGAAGGTTTTGCCATGGCCTTCACAATCTCCTGACCTCAACATAATTGAAAATCTATGGATAGACCTTAAAAGAGCAGTGCGTGACAGACAGCCCAGAAATCTCAAAGAACTGGAAGACTTTTGTAAGGAAGAATGGGCAAAGATACCTCAAACAAGAATTGAAAGACTCTTGGCTGGCTACAAAAAGCGTTTAAAAGCTGTGATACTTGCCAAAGGGGGCAGTACAAGATATTAACTCTGCAGGGTGCCCAAACTTTTGCAGACGCCATTTTTTTGTTTTGTTATTTTGAAAGTGTAAATGATGGAAATAAAATCTAACTTTTGTTGACATATTATAAGAATGTCTAATCTGTAATTTGATGCCTTTTGGAGATTTTTCCATCTTTCCTTGGCTTCTTTATGCACATTAATACAAATTTTTAGCTGGGGTGCCCAAACTTTCGATCCCCACTGTAAATGAGTACACTCCTTTTGAAAAGTAAGATTTTAATCAATATCTCAATGAACACAAGAACAATTTCCAAAAATATGACAAAACTCTGTTTTACAGAAAATTTGTTTAGCTCATTACATGAAAGGTTAAGAATATACCGTATTTTTCGCTCCATAAGACGCACTTTTTTCCCCCCAAAAAAGGGGTGAAAATGTCAGTGCTTCTTCTGGAGCGAATATAAAGCGGCCGGTTCAGTATTTCTGCCGCCACCATGTCAGAATACCGGGCTGGCCGCTCAGCTGTTCTCTCCTGCATAGCCTTACCTGTTCCTCGCTCCAGCGCTGTACAGTCTTCCCGCGCTGGCTTCTGTGACAGCCAGGTGCCCACTGCGCATGTGCTGCGCTTTGTGAATGATCCGGTGTCTTCTGGGACACATGACAGATCCCAGAAAGCGCCGGGCCATTCACAAAGCGCAGCGCTTCTCGCACATGCGCAGTGGGCACCCGGCTGTCACAGAAGCCGGCCCGGGAAGAAGAGGGAAGGACAACTCCGCGGAAGTGGGAGCGGGTACCTGTCAAATTTAGGTACCCGCTCCCCCCTCCCTCCCCAAAGGTCAGCAGTCTCTGGTCATTCCCTGCACTGTGTCCGCAGTCTCTGGTCATCCCCTGCACTGTGTCCGCAGTCTCTGGTCATCCCCTGCACTGTGTCCGCAGTCTCTGGTCATCTCCTGCACTGTGTCCGCAGTCTCTGGTCATCTCCTGCACTGTGTCCGCAGTCTCTGGTCATCTCCTGCACTGTGTCCGCAGTCTCTGGTCATCTCCTGCACTGTGTCCGCAGTCTCTGGTCATCTCCTGCACTGTGTCCGCAGTCATCTCTGGTCATCTCCTGCACTGTGTCCGCAGTCTCTGGTCATCTCCTGCACTGTGTCCGCAGTCTCTGGTCATCTCCTGCACTGTGTCCGCAGTCTCTGGTCATCTCCTGCACTGTGTCCGCAGTCTCTGGTCATCTCCTGCACTGTGTCCGCAGTCTCTGGTCATCTCCTGCACTGTGTCCGCAGTCTCTGGTCATCTCCTGCACTGTGTCCGCAGTCTCTGGTCATCTCCTGCACTGTGTCCGCAGTCTCTGGTCATCTCCTGCACTGTGTCCGCAGTCTCTGGTCATCTCCTGCACTGTGTCAGTCTCTGGTCATCTCCTGCACTGTGTCCGCAGTCTCTGGTCATCTCCTGCACTCCGCAGTCTCTGGTCATCTCCTGCACTGTGTCCGCAGTCTCTGGTCATCTCCTGCACTGTGTCCGCAGTCTCTGGTCATCTCCTGCACTGTGTCCGCAGTCTCTGGTCATCTCCTGCACTGTGTCCGCAGTCTCTGGTCATCCTCCTGCACTGTGTCCGCAGTCTCTGGTCATCTCCTGCACTGTGTCCGCAGTCTCTGGTCATCTCCTGCACTGTCCGCAGTCTCGTCATCTCCTGCACTGTGTCCGCAGCAGTCTCTGGTCATCTCCTGCACTGTGTCCGCAGTCTCTGGTGCACTGTGTCCGCAGTCTCTGGTCATCTCCTGCACTGTGTCCGCAGTCTCTGGCATCTCCTGCACTGTGTCCGCAGTCTCTGGTCATCTCCTGCACTGTGTCCGCAGTCTCTGGTCATCTCCTGCACTGTGTCCGCAGTCTCTGGTCATCTCCTGCACTGTGTCCGCAGTCTCTGGTCATCTCCTGCACTGTGTCCGCAGTCTCTGGTCATCTCCTGCACTGTGTCCGCAGTCTCTGGTCATCTCCTGCACTGTGTCTGCAGTCCATTGGTTCAGAATATTTTTTTTTCTTGTTTTTCGCCTCTAAAACCTAGGTGCGTCTTATGGTCAGGTGCGTCTGATGGAGCGAAAAATACGGTAACTTAATTACAAAATCTCTCAAATTAGTTGATGCAAAAATGAATACACCCAACAACAAAAACTACTACGTCTAGTATTTTGCATAACCTACATGATTTGTAAGGACAGCACCAAGTCTTCTAGGCATGGAATGAACAAGTTGGCGACATATTGCAACATCTATCTTTTACCATTCTTCAAGAACAACCTCTTTTAGAGCATGAATGCTGGATGGAGAGTGATGCTCAATTTATCGCTTTAGCATTCCACATAGGTGTTCAATTGGGTTCAAATCAGGAGACATACTTGGCCACTGAATCACTTTCACCCTCTCCGTCTTCAGAAATGTAACACTGGCCTCAGATGTGTGTTTTGGATCAATGTCATGTTGGAAAAGTGCACGATGACTAAGGGCACTGAGTGATGGTAGCATCTTCTCTATCAATATGGAGCAGTACATCTGTGAATTCATGATACCATCAATGAAATGCAGCTCCCCAACATCAGCAGCACTCATGCAGCCCCACAGAAGGACACTGCCACCACCATGTATTTTTCTTTGTAAAGCTTTGCTGATCTTGTAGCCTTCACCTTTCTTGTGTAAAGAAAGGATCTTCATTCTTAGGCCTTGTGACATTTCTCTTCCATGTGACGCTATTGCTGACAGCATGAAATAGGCAAGGGTTTTCTTTGTTAACCGCTTTAAGTCAGCCCTATAACAGTACTACTGCTACAGGGTGCACAATCTGCGCAAAATCACGTATATATACGTGATTCGTGCTCCTTCCGTGATTACGGGGCCGGGGGCGTGAGCACCGCCAACCCGGCAGGGCCGTGAATCTGTGCCCGAGAAATCAACAGATTCAGGCCAGTGATGTTTTGGTCTGGATCTGCTGGCTGATCCCTGCCCTATCAGACATTTTCCTGTACCGGTGTTTACATTTACACAGGTAATGATGCAATCTTCTCTCCTTGGGCACATTCCATTCCAGAGAAGAAAGCTGATCCATGTGAGTAAAAACCACACACACACACACACACACACACACACACACACAACACACACACACACACACACACACACACACACACACACGTCACATTTAACCCCGATCGCCCCCCAGTTAGCCCCTGCACTGCCCTGTCACCAGTGTCAGTACAGTGTATAGATTTTTTTTTACGGATCACTGTATTAGTGTCACTGGCGACTTCAGATAGCGTTAGCATCAGTTAGCATCCCTCCAAGATAGCGTCAGATTGCCCGCCACTACATCAGTCATCACATTTAATCCCTTGATTGCCAGGAACATGCTCACATACACAATAAGCCTCCATTGCTAGTATAGCATCTGAACGGATTAATTTCTTTAAATAATAACACATGCAGCGCTACAAAAGGGTAATATATGTTTATATAAAAATAAGTGATAAGCTACTGGTGCATAAAGTGATTAAAAAACGTCCTCATATCATAATTCAATAGTCCCAATAAACAGTGCAAAGGTGGTCGACTCCGTGCTGAAAGGTGTATAATATTATGCACTCTCACCAGAAAGTGCATAATATGCGCATTTGAGTTGTCAGACCACTCCTGGTCCTAGAAAGCTGAAGCAGTGCAGATCATCTAGCAGGGTGTCACTCAGGTAGGGATACACCTTTCCTTAACCAGCAGAGGGATTCCAGACATCCAGAAATGCTTGGTATACCTAATCCAGACTCCTCAACCAGGGCACTCATGCAAGATATCCACCTTGAGGGGGGGGGGGGGGGGCTTGACCAAACAGCCCACCCCAAAAAACACTGATAGTGTAGTATGTTCCAAAAAATCTTTATTGCAGAGTAAAGGTAAGTAACTCACAAGGTATCCCAGAAACACAGGTGGCCGCTGGCCTCCACGAGGTACGGAACGGCGTGACGTCACCGGCTAGGCTCCACCCTGACGGGTTTCGTGCGGACGAGCACGTTGATCAAAGGATTAATTTCTTTGATCAGATCAGCACTATACCAGTGTTCACAATAGTATAGTGTCCCCCAAAAAACGCAACGTTAGCGGGATCAGCCCTGACACCTACCAGCACCTGCGTTTAGCCCCTACGTTAACCCTCCCTTCTCCCCCAGCAAATGCAGTGTCAGTAGATCACTGTCACTTGATACATTGTGCACATTTGTAAACATTTGTTTATAGCGCAAAAGATTAAAAAACCCAGGAGGTGATCAAATACCACCAAAAGAAAGCTCTATTTGTGTGAAAAAAAGGACATAAAATTTAAATTAATGTACAGTATTGCATGACCGTACAATTTTCAAACTAGCGCAGTGCTATATAGCAACAAATGGTGTAAATTCCAATATCCATACCATAGGTTGTAGACGCTATAACTGTCACACAAAGCAATTAATATACACTTATTGGGATTTTTTTTAAACCAAAAGACATGCAGCAGAATACATTTTGGCTTAAATGACTAACTTTGAGTTTACCATATGTTTTTTATACCCGAAAGTAAAAAATATCAGTTTTTATAAACATTTTCGGACTTCTTTTTTTATTTATAGTGCAAAAAATGAAAAACCCAGAGGAGATCAAATACCACCAAAAGAAAGCTCTATTTGTGTGAAAAGAAAAAAAAAGACACATTTCGTTTGGGTACAGCGTTGCATGATCGCGCAATTACAAGTTTAAAAAGTGCAGCGCCTGAACGCAAAAAACAGCCTGGTCAGGAAGGAGGGTAAATCCTCTGGAGGGCAAGTGGTTAAATAACGCCCTTTTATAATCAACTATCTGCTGGACACCTGGTTAATGAATAATTTGACTCACTTGTAGTTGAATTCTTGTCAATTAGGATTTTGTTGTCTAAAATTTAGCTTTGTTCCTCTTTCATTGGGGTGTATTCATTTTTGCAACATGGTCATGAATGAATTTGTTAGGAAAAATACTTTTTCGTGGGTGCAAATTGACAAATCTTGTTTGCAATCAATGGCCCGCATTTGTGGGAATATTTTGTAGTATAGTGTCCCATACAAAATGGTCATTCTGAAAGTAACGGTATTCTGATAAATCTGTTGGGGTGTACTCATTTATGCTGAGCACTGTACATATTTTTTTTAATAACAAAAATGTTGTACTCACCTGCTCTGTGCAATACCACCAAACATCCTCTTCTGGGGTCCCCGTCGGCACTCTCGCTCCTCCTCTTCTCAGTGTGCTCCCATGGGAAGCAGATTCTTGTGGACTCACTCCCAAACTGGGCTGCATATGTCAATTAAAACACAGCTTGGCTTAGAACAACCCCCATCCCCCCCCCCCTCACTCCTCACAGGATTTGATTGACAGCAGCAGGAACCAACAGCTCCCGCTGTTGTCTATGAGCCTGTGAGGAGGGAAAGAGAGAGAAGCAGTGATGCTGCAGACAGGCATTGCATTGGTTTGATACAGGACGTATGTAGGTATTTAGCAAGTGGTGGAACAACTACATTTTTTACCTTAATGCATTACAGTAAGAACCTTCTGGCTTTAGAGCCACTTTAAGCAGACCTGGATAATCACAGGCCTTGCCTGAACACTAATCCTCTGCTTCAAAAAAAGATTACATGACCAATTGTCTGGCATTTGTCCCATGACCTAACATACAAAAATTTACAGAAGCAGGAAAGTCAGAACAGAGAGGTGTCCGATTACAGCATGGGTGCATTTGAGTTGTTTTTAATACCTTTTAAAAGTTGTAGCAAAGTACCAGACAGATATCGAGGAGCGGTGTCTTTCTGTTCAAGCTGGTACTGAGAAGTAAACTCCTCAAGCCAATGAATAAATGAAGGACAGGCAGACAAACTTTGCAGCAAGGAATTCATGAAACAAGTGTTCCCCAAATTTAGTAGCCCTGGCACCAGTCCTACAAATTAGAATACAAAAAGAAAGATACATAAAAATTTGTTTCATATGGTAATAAGAATTGAAATACGAGGGGCATTCAAGTCAAACCGTGACTTTTAATTTTACAGGTATAAAAAAAGAATGCTAGCGTGGCGGTACTACATGCAGTAGTAAGTGGCAAGTATCTTATTACTGATAGGCGGTGCAAATGTCATGGGCTAGTCCTGAGGCTGTCAAGCAAGACAGCAGACAAAAGAGTGTGCATGGAACAGCGTGTGGTGATGAACTTTTTTGTGAACGAAGAGGTAAAAAACCCGCAGATATCTACAGAAGACTTCAAGCACAGTACGGTGATGAGATTCTTAGCCGCAGACAGACATCTGAATGATGTAAATGCTTGAAAGATGGCCATACATCCGTCAGTGATGGTCCCGGTCGTGGTGGTTCCCAGCCCACAGCAGTAATTCCTATGAACATTCAGCACGTGGAACATCTGATCCTGGATAATCAACGCATAACCTGTGATGAAAATGCACAAATCTTTCTGTGGTCAGCATTTCAGCACTGATGACAAAGTGAAGCAAGCTGTCCAAGGACGGTTCAGGTGTACTGACATTTCTTTCTACACTGAAGCTTTCCAGACATTTGTTAAATAGTGGGATAAGTGTTCAAATGTAGCAGGGGAGTAGGTAAAATAAATGCAATTTCCACTCCTTGAAAATTGTTCTTTTTTATTATATAAATTCAAAAGTCATGGTTTACCTTGAACGCCCCTTGTGTATTTGATAAATCAATTGCTTTAAAGAATAGCTGGCAGAACAGAAATACAGAAAATGCCACTAACTTGCATCTGAAATAACAGCAAATATGGCAACACAGGGCATGCTTCACAAAATTTAATTTCATGATTATGTAATTGGCTCACTTTTTTCCGCCAGAGGTCCTCAGAGAGCATGGAGCACTCAACAATGGGACTGAATTCCAGGAGATGTGATATTACCCATCCATTTCATAGCTCATCCATTGCTGCCGCTCCCAAGGAGCAGACTGAAAAAGGGTATTTACATGCATCTTTTTTTACCAGCAGTATACAAAGAGAGGAGGGAGGAAACTATTTTTAAGCAGACGTAACTGTAGTAAAATCTGTACATGCAAGGTCTACAACGAAGTCAAAGAAGGGATACCTTTAACTAACCAACCCAGTTCAACTCTTTATGCGGTATTAAACTCAAAAGCAAATATTTATTATACTGCAGCTTACCAATTCTTAGATGTGATGGTTGAATTAGTTTTCTTTTATGGCTTTCTTTCCTTTATTTTCCCCTGGAAATCCAGACAGTAAGTCTGTTGTTTTTCAACAGAACAAGCTGTCCTATAGCACATACAGTCATGGCCGAAATTGTTGGCACCCTTGAATTTCTCCAGAAATCATGTATTTCTCACGAAACGTATTGCATTAACACATGTTTTGCTATACACATGTTTATTCCCTTTGTGGTATTGGGACAAAACAAAAAAAGGAGGAAAGAAAGCAAATTCGACATAATGTTTACACTCCAAAAATGGGCTGGACAAAAGTATTGGCACCCTTTCACAACTGCGGATAAATTTTTTACAAGCATTGATGCTCCTGTAAACTCACCTGGGGCAAGTAACAGGTGTGGGCAATATAGAAATCACACCTGAAAGCAGATAAAAAGGAGAGACGTTCACTTAACCTTTGCATTGTGTGTCTGTCTGTGCCACACTAAGCATGGACAACAGAAAGAGGAGACGAGAACTGTCTGAGGACCTGAGAACCTGGCAAAATATCAACAATCTCAAGGTTACAAGTCCATCTCCAGAGAACTAGATTTGCCTTTGTCCACAGTGCGCAACATTATCAAGAAGTTTGCAACCCATGGCACTGTAGCTAATCTCCCTGGTCGTGGACGGATGAGGAAAATTGATGAAAGATTGCAACGCAGAATAGTCCGGATGGTGGATAAGCAGCCCCAAACATGTTCCAAAGACATTCAAGCTGTCCTGCAGGCTCAGGGAGCATCAGTTCAGCGCGAACTATCCGTCGACATTTAAATGAAATGAAACGCTTGGCAGGAACCCAGGAGGACCCCACTGCTGACACAGAGACATAAAAAAGCAAGACTACAGTTTGCCAAAATGTACTTGAGTAAGCCAAAAGCCTTCTGGGAAAACGTCTTGTGGACAGATGAGACCAAGATAGAGCTTTTTCGGTAAAGCACATCATTCTACTGTTTACCGAAAACGGAATGAGGCCTACAAAGAACAAAACACAGTACCTACGGTAAAATATGGTGGCTTCAATGATGTTTTGGGGTTGTTTTGCTGCCTCTGGCACTGGGTGCCTTGACTGTGTGCAAGGCATCATGAAATCTGAGGATTACCAAAGGATTTTGGGTCGCACTGTAGGGCCCAGTGTCAGAAAGCTGGGTTTGTCCAAGATCCTGGGTCTTTCGGACAGACCCCAAACAACGTCAAAAAGCACTCAAAAATGGATGGCAAAGAAGCGCTGGAGAGTTCTGAATGGCCAGCAATGAGCCCAGATCTAAATCCCATTGAACACCTGTGGAGAATCTTAAAATTGCTGTTGGGAAAAGGTGTCCCTTCCAATAAGAGAGACCTGGAGCTGTTTGCAAGAGTGGTCCAAAATTCCGGGTGAGAGGTGTCAGAAGCTTATTGATGGTTTTAGGAAGCGACTGATTTCAGTTATGTTTTCCAAAGGGTGTGCAACCAAATATTAAGTTAATGGGTGCCAATACTTTTGTCCAGCCCAACATTATGTCATAGTTTTATATTTGTTCCAATACATACAAAGGGAATAAACATGTATAGCAAAACATGTGTTAATGCAATACCTTTTTTGTGTGAAATAGATTTCCTGGAGAAATATCAAGGGTGCCAACAATTTCGGCCATGACTGTAGAGGGATGAGACAAATCATTTACCACTAACACAGGCCAGCTTTTTTTTTTTTTTTTTTTTTTTTATTATTGTAAAATCTTTATCCTAAAAAAGAAAACAGTATTCCTGTTGTACCTGCTTACAAAGTATTAGCTGGAGTTCGGCTTCAATTTGTTAATGTATATAACTCTACTAGTGCATCTAACACTCCCCTTCCCCTAGATTAACAATGCTGCTGTCCAAAGGTGCCCCTGTGCTCCTTCATCCAGAGTTTAGGCACTCTAATATAGGAGGTGTGTTACCAGCCAGATCACTAGATGAAATCGGAGAAGAAAAAAAAAAACGAAAAAAAAAAATAATTGAGCATCACATCTAATGATTGGTCAGCTGCAATACGAGGGGTGTCTAGAAAATAATGAGATTTTTTAAAAATTCTTATACTGAAAAATTTGTAGAGTGGATGGGGAAGCACGGTGATGTGTTTTGCAGTCAAAAACTCTCTGACAGCCAAAGGACTGTGGTGAGTTGTCGTGATGAAGGATCCAAATTGAGCCAATCTCAGGATGCACATGAATGCCAACAGGTCTTGGCAGACGAGTTGACGGTGTTCCTTCTGATCAAGTGACAAGTTCTTTGGAACAAGTTTTGCACACACTTTTTTCACGTTCAAATCCTGAGTCATGACTTCATGTATAAATGACTTGGTAATCCCAGCTTCCGCTGCAATCATTCTGATAGTGAGCAGTCGGTCAAGGTAGAGAACGGACCTCACTGCATCCACATTCTGTTCCGGTTTTTGGCAAAGAGGGGCATCCTTGCTCGTTGTCTTCAATACCTTCTCATCCTTCCTTGAATGCCTTGTGCCATCATTACAATTGTGCAGGTGATTGCACAGCTTCTCCATAACCTTTCTCCACTATTTCCAAAGTTTCTGATGCACTTTTACACAATTTCACACACAATTTTATCACGCACCACTGTTCTAAACTTGCTTGCATTTTTCTGAGGAACTTGTACAGGCTGTCACAAAAGAATGTCTCCACTGACAGGGCTGGAATGCAACTGATCAGTGTTCAAAAGGTATACACGTCACCCCACCCCAAGTGACATTGGGCAGCTTATGCCTTCACAGAGCCCTTCTCGATCATAGGAACTTCATTCTCATTATATTCTGGACACACCTTGTATATTACATTTTTGGCTTTAGGTTTAATCCTGCTGTAAGCAAAGCGATTTTATTAACTGTAGCATATATCAGATTTATCAAAATCTGTTTCTATGGACAACATGAGCTTGAATAGCTATCAGTTAATTTCTACCTTTTTTGCGCTTCTTTCGGTCTGTGATTGGACCCCACAAAACATATATTCCAGCTGCAAGGGCTGCAGCAATGCCACCAATCATACCCCAGTTCTTCATCATTTTACACCTGAGAGAGAAAAGAAAATGGATAATGGAAACCATTAAAAGCTGAATTCTACATAGACATAAAAGACACACATATGCTGCAAACTAACTTCTTGGCAGGACAAGGCTGACCACTCATAATGGGAGTCTTCTGGCCTGAGTGGCACCAATCATGACCAACAAGTATGGCATATAAACTAAGCACTTTTTTCTAAGCTGCGCAGTGTTTTTCAACCTATTGGGGCCCCTTGTCTGTATAGTTAAACTTATTCAAAAGGATAACGTTTGACCTTAGGTGGCCAGACTGTTTTTCACTTTTTTTCTTTCATTTACAGCTTTTAGAATTTGTAAAAGACCTCCACCAAACCATACAATTTCTAAGCACACAGGACCTGTAGAAATAAAAAAAAGATTGTGCTACTGATTTTGCAAATCACGTGATAGCTGTGCAAATGTTTATCAAATCGATATTTTATAAAAAAAATTAAAAAATATTCTAAAATCATTACTAATGCACACAAACAAGAAAGAACTTACTAAATTCCTACTAAATCTAAAAAATAAAATTGTATTCTTTTCGAAAATAACATATTTGTTAATTTCTTAATTGTGCCTTTTTGTGAAACAGCAACAAATGTAGGCAAGACTGTAAATACGTAACGAAACATTAGAAATCTAGATGTGGCTTCACAGCTATGCCTTGTGGTGATGTAAATCTATAGTGCTGTGTGCTGCATTGGTATGCATTGCAAAAACACAATCCCAGCATACATTTTATCGTAATGTGTAGTGTGTTACAACATGTAGCAATATGTCGCAACAATTCCCAATGTGCTGCTGCACAATGCTGAATTAATGTAATCAGAAAAAAAAAGAAAAGTAAAAAACGCATAAATAAGCACTGCATTGTGTTGTGACAATGCACAACAATGTGTGTGGTGCACATGTGTACATTATGTGTGATTATTTGTGTGTCGGGGGGGGGGGGGGGGGTGTTTAACCAGTTCATGCTGGATGTTGGCATACAGGTTAAACTCAAAAAATTTGAATATTGTGCAAACGTTCATTTATTTCAGTAATGCAACTTAAAAGGTGAAACTAATATATGAGATAGACTCATTACATGCAAAGCAAGATAGTTCAAGCCATGATTTGTCATAATTGTGATGATTATGGCTTACAGCTCGTTAAAACCCCAAATCCACAATCTCAGATAATTAGAATATTGTGAAAAGGTGCAATATTCTAGGCTCAAAGTGTCCCACTCTAATCAGCTAATTAAGCCATAATGCCTGCAAAGGGTCCCTGAGCCTTTAAATGGTCTCTCAGTCTGGTTCAGTAGGAATCACAATCATGGGAAAGACTGCTGACCTGACAGTTGTGCATAAAACCATCATTGACACCCTCCATAAGGAGGGAAAGCCTCAAAAGGTAATTGCAAAAGAAGTTGGATGTTCCCAAAGTGCTGTATCAAAGCACATTAATAGAAATTTATGTGGAAGGGAAAAGTGTTGAAGAAAAAGGTGCACAAGCAGCAGGGATGACCACAGCCTGGAGAGGATTGTCAGGAAAAGGCCATTCAAAAGTGGCTCAGTGGTCCAAAGTCCTCTTTTCTGATGAGAGCAACTTTTGCATCTCATTTGGAAACCAAGGACCCAGAGTATGGAGGAAGAATGGAGAGGCACACACTGCAAGATGCTTGAAGTCCAGTGTGAAGTTTCCACAGTCTGTGTTGATTTGGGGAGCCATGTCATCTGCTGGTGTTGGTCCACTGTGCTTCATTAAGTCCAGGGTCAACGCAGGAGAATTTGGAGCACTTCATGCTTCCTTTCGCAAACAAGCTTTATGGGGATGCTGACTTCATTTTCCAGCAGGGCTTGGCACCTGCCCACACTGCCAAAAGCACCAAAACCTGGTTCAATGACCGTGGGATTACTGTGTTTGATTGGCCAGCAAACTCACCTGACCTGAACCCCATAGAGAATCTATGGGGCATTGCCAAGAGAAAGATGAGAGACATGAGACCGAACAATGCAGAAGAGATGAAGGCTGCTATTGAAGCATCCTGGTCTTCCATAACACCTCAGCAGTGCCACAGGCTGATAGTTCCCATGCGCATTGAGGCAGTAATTGCTGCAAAAGGGGCCCAAATCAAGTACGGAGTACATATGCATGCTTATACTTTTCAGAGGTCCGATATTGTTCTATGTACAATCCTTGTTTTATTGATTGCATGTAATATTCTATATTTCTGAGATTGTGGATTTGGGGTTTTCATGAGCTGTAAACCATAATCATCACAATTATGACAAATCACGGCTTGAACTATCTTGCTTTGCATGCAATGAGTCTATCTCATATATTAGTTTCACCTTTTACCTTGCATTACTGAAATAAATGAACTTTTGCATGATATTCAAATTTTTTTCGAGTTTTACCTGTATATGTGGCAGCAAGGTGGGCAATTTTGCCAAGCTGTTGCACATTTGTGGGGAACTACCGTATTTTCCGGCGTATAAGACGACTTTTCAACCCCTGAAAATCTTCTGAAAAGTCGGGGGTCGTCTTATACGCCGGTGCGAGCCGGTGTCAGGGGGGCACCTCCTCCTCCAGCGGACACTAAGTACAGGGGTGGGCAGAGGGGCTGCTGTACCTTACCTGGCTCCGGTCCCACGACGATCCGGTCCAGGAAGCGCGGCTGCTCCTTCTTTTGTTCGGCCGCTCGATGGTCACACGGCCGCTCGGCTCCGCCTCCTCACCAGTGATTGGGCGCCAGCACTGGAAAGGCACACAGGCGACCAATCACCGGCGAGGAGGCGGAGCCGAGCGGCCCCCGCGAAAATCAAGCGGCCGAACTGGAAGAAGGAGCAGCCGCTCCTCTCCCCCACTGACACTAACGATGGGGCACTATTCCTCCTCCACACTGACACCAACGATGAGGCACTGTTCTCCCCCACTGACACCAACGATGAGGCACTGTTCTCCCCCACTGACACCAACGATGAGGCACTGTTCTCCCCCACTGACACCAACGATGAGGCACTGTTCTCCCCCACTGACACCAACGATGAGGCACTGTTCTCCCCCACTGACACCAACGATGAGGCACTGTTTCCCCCACTGACACCAACGATGAGGCACTGTTCTCCCCCACTGACACCAACGATGAGGCACTGTTCTCCCCCACTGACACCAACGATGAGGCACTGTTCCTCCCCCACTGACACCAACGATGAGGCACTGTTCCTCCCCCACTGACACCAACAATGAGGCACTGTTCTCCCCCACTGACACCAACGATGAGGCACTGTTCCTCCCCCACTGACACCAACAATGAGGCACTGTTCTCCCCACTGATACCAATGATGGGGCACTATTCCTCCTCCCCACTGACACCAATGATGGGGCACTATTCTCCCCACTGATACCAACGATGGGGCACTATTCTCCCCACTGACACCAACGATGGGGCACTATTCCTCCCCCACTGACACCAACGATGGGGCACTATTCCTCCCCCACTGACACCAACGATGGGGCACTATTCCTCCCACTGATACCAATGATGGGGCGCTATTCCTCCCACTGATACCAATGATGGGGTGCTATTCCTCCCACTGACACCAATGATGGGGCGCTATTCCTCCCACTGACCTCCACTATTCCCCACTGACACCAATGATGGGGCGCTATTCCTCCCACTGACTAATGATGGGGCACTATTCCTCCCACTGACACCAATGATGGGGCACTATTCCCCCACTGATACCAATGATGGGGCGCAATTCCTCCCACTGACACCAATGATGGGGCGCAATTCCTGCCACTGATACCAATGATGGGGCGCTATTCCTCCCACTGACACCAATGATGGGGTGCTATTCCTCCCACTGATACCAATGATGGGCCGCTATTCCTCCCACTGACACCAATGATGGAACACTATTCCTCCCACTGACACTAATGATGGGACACTATTCCTCCCACTGACACCAATGATGGGGCACGATTCTTCCCACTGATACCAATGATGGGGCACTATTCCTCCCACTGACACTAATGATGGGACACTATTCCTCCCACTGACACCAATGATGGGGCACGATTCTTCCCACTGATACCAATGATGGGGCACTATTCCTCCCACTGACTAATGATGGGGCACTATTCCTCACACACTGACACTAATGATGGGGCACCATCATTGGTGTCAATGGGAGGAATAGTGTCCCATCATTGGTATCAGTGGGAGGAATAGTGCCCCATCATTGGTATCAGTGGAAGGAATAGCGCCCCATCATTGGTGTCAGTGGGGGAGGAGTAGTGCCTCATCATTGGTGTCAGTGGGAGGAATAGTGTCCCATCATTGGTATCAATGGGAGGAATAGTGCCCCATCATTGGTGTCAGTGGATGAAATAGTGCCCCATCATTGGTGTCAGCGGGAGGAGTAGTGCCTCATCATTGGTGTCAGTGGGAGGAATAGCACCCCATCATTGGTGTCAGTGGGAGGAATAGCACCCCATCATTGGTATACCATACTGAAATAGCATACCATATTGAAATCAAATCTGATGTTTTTTCATTTTTATTTGGTGTGCGTTGGAAGAGGGGTAGTCTTATACGGCGAGTATAGCTCAAAACCTATAGTTTAACAGGAAAAGTAGGGGGTCGTCTTATACGCCCAGTTGTCTTATATGCCGGAAAATACGGTATTCTTTTGTGCTGAAAGTGTGCTCACTGCATTACCCCAGCACAGTGACTGAGCTGTTACAGTGAGCTCCCTATCGTTGTTTAAGATCAGGAGCTTCTGATCAAGTAACCATTGTGACAGCCAATCACAGCATCACATACTCAGAAAGCCTGTCTCCTCACATTTACAATCTCTTAAAGGGCTGCTGGGCGGTGGAGGCAATGTTTCAATCTATGCGATGCGTGTTATTACAGCAGGTAATGCTGTGAGCATTCCCACACTGCACAGATGTAGAAGGATTTTTCTTTTTAACATTTATTTATTTTTACTATCTCAGTATATAGGAATGAACACTGAGTGAGCAGCACTGATCAACCTGATGTTCATTCAGGACAGGCAAAGGATTGGTGATTATATTACACTCATATTTACCAATCCTTTGATTGTCCATCCTAAAGTATCAGATTCTTTTCCTGGGCACCTGCAGTCTTCTACCCTGCACAGCCCCCATCTCCGCTGCTATTGTGTGTGTGTGTGGGGTGGGGGGGGAAGCAAAAAGGAGACAGCAGGCCGTGCAGGGGACATAGCACAGAGCAGTATGCTAGCACTGCCAGCTGGAAGCGGTTCTGTGCCACTGTACTGTCTCCCCAGCCTGAGACAGTGCTGTTGTCCAAAGGTGTCACTGTTCCTCTTCCAGGAAGAGCATTACTGGCTGGATCACCAGATGAAAATAAAGGGAAAAAAGCTTTAAAGATTAAAAAAAAAAAAAAAAAACTAATACAGCCTCCAAATTTAATGCTCTTTCAGACAAGCAGGAAGCTCACTGCACTCTGAAAAGCAATCTGCAGTGGATCATTTTTCAGAGGGTGGAATAAAAGTGTCTGACAGGCCTTCAGGAGGTGCCACTGCCACCTCCAGACACCTGTATTTTGTTGTTTTACTTTTAATGGCCAGACTGCAATTTTACATTGTGGGACCATGCCGCAAGTGTGAACCAAGTGTTTGGCTCGCAGTTGTGGATCAGCCCTATTAAACTCAATGGGAGAAGTTTGGAGGCGCCTGTCAAACTCTTTAGCGGAAGTTAAAAATATAGCACTATGTGTTCAGCCCTATCAGGCTGTAATGTTAGAACTATGGTGGGTGGCTGGGGGGTTGCTCAGCTACCCATTTCTACCCCCCTCTTTGGCTGCCAGTGTGAAAAAGTCCTAAAAGATTGGTGAGCTGCTATATATCGATTTCTTGTTTTTAAGTTTAAAGCTCAATTCTGGGAAACTTAAAATGACCCATTGCAGTGGGGCTGCACCTGCACTGAATGAGTTAACTGTTCGTTTGTCTAGTGATCCTCCGCATCCCTAGCAGGTGGTGCTTCCCCAAGCTCCAGCGGTGGACTGTTCCTCAGGTGTCCTCATGTCCAATGTAGAGCTTTAGACCTTGCATCTGTCTTGATGTGTTGACAAGTAATTAAAGGATAAGGTCACCTTTCGTAACATGTTACACCCAAATTCAGGGTGTAACATGATACAAACGGACCGGACCCCGCAAACCCCTAATCCCCGTTGTGATGGCTAGCAGGGGATCTTCTCCTCCCTGCTACCTGTCACAATTTTAAAAAACCGCGGCCGTGCGGGGCTTTGTCCACCTGGCCGCATCACTTAGTCACAGGATTCTTTGAATGAGAAAACTACAAGTCAGAGTTGTCGGCTTGTAGTTTTCAATATACTTGCACGGCACTGTTTGAGCCTTCCTGTCAGTATCTGCTTGCCCGTATGGGATATACAAGCGAGCAGATACACTGACAGGCCAGGAGGAGACCAGCTGGTGACAGGCTTTAGAGGCTCCGGAAACAAAAATAATAAATGCACATTTTTTTACCTGCACAAAAATGTATATTTATTATGTTTTTAAATGGTGAACATGGTAACCCTAGCAATGCAGGTCATTTTAGTTTCTTGGCGTTTGGCTTTAACCCTTTCACTGCCCGAGCCATTTTTTTGCACGTTTAAAAAAATAACTTTGGGCCTGAAGATTAAACAAAACCCTCAAAAATTATATAATTTTCTAAAAGCAGACAGCCTAGAGAATAAAATAGTGGTAGTTCCAATTTTTTACACAATACAGAGCACGATATTCTCACAAAAGTCTAAGAAAATCAAAATTTCAGTAAAAACCACACTAAAGTGAATTTTAGGGCAAACAAACGCAATAAATTACCCACATTTTTTGGGTAAAATAAAAAAGACGAGGTTGCACAAAGATGTCAAACCTTAAATTTGTGTGCGCTCGTGAAATTCTGTACCCTATATTTTCTATAGGCGACACTTCAAAAGCCCCTACAGATCATCAGTTTAGTGTTACGGAGGAGGTCTTGTGCTAGAATTATTAGTCTCGCTCCAGCGTGCGTGCCGATATTTTATGTTTTCAAGCATAGGTGCCCCCGACACGTGTGCTTAGGTATATATGTTGTGTATATGTGTGGGGGCTCACATTCTTTTGAGGGGGGATGTTATGTGCTTGGGTGTAACTTTATTTTTTGTAATTAAACAAATATATATTTTATTCTAACACATAGGGGACACAAAGTCCCCAATGTGATGATTTGTAGGTGACATGCAGGGTCTAAAAGATCCTGCATGTCTCCTCTGGGCTCCACTGCATTTATTGCAATGCAGATCACATTGCAATACATTCCTCCCCTGGGGGAAAGTGACAGGGTGACCCGGAACTGACATGCACGGTGCTTTCCGGGTAACAGCAAGAGGGGGAGGAGAATGGATGTGTGTCTGCTCTCCTCCTTGCCCTCCACATCGACCCCATGCCCATAGATGTCCAAGCGGAGCCTGTAATACATTGGGGGGGGCATGGAAGCAATCGGGGAGCAAAGCAGCCACCCAACTGCTTCCACCTAACAGGCAGGAGTCTGCTTGTCAGTGTTATAAACATTACCAGTGGCTGAAGCCACCGGATTGTGTGTAAACCCCCCCCTGCTGCCAGGATTGTATGATATATGTACCTGGCAGCAAAAGGCTTAAGGCCCCTTTCACAGGAAGAAGCTTTCTCTCTCATCAGAAGAGGATCTATGAGGTGATCCCCTACTGAATGGAGCAGAGTGGGACGAATGACCCATCTGTGCATGTGTGTTCACTCAGTTTACGCACAGCAGACCCAGACAGACCCCACTCTACTCTGTGGGTGGCCAGGTGTAAATGGACTCTGTCTATTTACATCCAGCTACCTCCAAACCGCTTCACAGTCCATTTGTTTTTTTTTTTGCAGACCTGATTGGACTCAGAAGTAGGCTTGTGTCTGTTTACACCCGCCTTTCCATAGGGATGCATGGATTTTTCGATCAGGTCCACCTGGAAATCTGACAGGCGGACCCGGTTGGAACACTCGTGTAAAAAGGTCTTAAAGCGGCGTTCCAGATGTTGTTTATTAAAAGTCAGCAGCTACAAAAACGGTAGCTGCTGACTTTAAATAAACACACACTCACCTGTCCCAGAGTCCAGCGATGTTCTCACCTGTACCATCCCTTCTCCCCTCCATGGCGCTGGCATCTCTACTGTGGGCTCCAGGCTGTGACAGCTTGAGGCTTCACAGCCTGGTGCCCACTGCACCTCCTAATTGGTCCAGCAGTGGGAACAGGTACCTGTCAAAACCAGGTACCCCCCCCCCCCCCCCCCCCAAAGGTGCAAAATATGGCAATGGATGGGGGAGGCAGATAAGCAGAGCTTCCACTTCTGAGTGGAGCTCCGCTTTAATAACATGCTAAAAGTGCAATCAAAAAGAAAGTGTTTATTTGTTCTAGGGTCTGTTCATTAGAAGAATATCCATCCATTCAGTGTATGTATAAATACAATACACCCAACAACTGTTACAAAGAGAGAAATCACACTGTGGTATGCAGTGTGGCTGGAGAGTTTCTATTCAGGACACCAACTCTTACTAAAACCTGGATTCGGAGACCCACACTAGTTCAGACACAACAAAAGTTTCCTGAATCTCTCAGCCCAAACGAACCTCCCCTGTGGCCATGTCAGGCGCTCTATCCACAGCACAGGGGGAACGCACACTAGCAGTAGAAAGGTCACAGTGTGTCATGTGTGTTCAGAGTTCATATGCAGTGACTGGGAAGTGCTCGGCCTACACGGCTTTCCCATAATGAGCCACACAGCCTGCACTCCGCAGAGTCCGCTCCCAGCCCAAACCCACATACCGCCAGGACCTAACCTGCTTCCGACTCCTCTGCGTAATGACACGCCGACTGTCGGTTCCGAGGCCCGGGACCGAGCCTCTAAGCATCACGCCCAATTTCCACCACTGCAAAGCGGAACCAATAATCCTTCTTCCTGTTCCCGCGAGACACTGAAATCGAAGCACAGGGAACAAGTGTATGGAGCGTAAATGTGTTCCGTACTGTGCTGAGATGTTGTTGCCATGGAAACCTTTCTTTTTTTTTCTGCTGACATCAAGCTAAGAGAGTGCCCTGTTTGTAAATGATACTTAGGACCAAAATATTAAACTGCCTGCATATCCCCAGCTCTTGGTAGTTTTGCAGGATAGTTTATTCTGCACGGAAATATTTGGCTTTTTCTTGATTTTTTCCATATTCCTGTTTCATTTTTTTTTTTTTTTGCTTAGAATATTCGCGTTTTATTGTTCTGCACGTGCTCATTTTTGTGTGCTTTTGAGGAGAGGTTTTTTTTTCTTTGGGACGTTTGAGTTTTATGTGATCAGACAGGGCCAATCAGCACTGTTTTTTTTTTTGTTTTGTGTTTTTTTTCTTTTTTCCTCCTAGAGCATACAAGAAAAACTCCTCCTTTTTTTTATTTTACTTTGTGTGCTTCTTTTTTATTTAACACTGATTATTGGATTTTGCACAAGACAAATATTTTGTGATTTTGATAAAAACAGGTAATAGCAGTGTCATATTTGTTTTCGAAAATTAATTTTTATTTGCTTTGTTCTGTGTACTGTTGTGAGAACCAATATCGTTTTGAATCGTTCAGGGGCCCTGAATTTAGTAACACTTTAAGGGGGGATATTATTTAATATATTGTTGATTTTTTACACTTCTTGTTTTTTTGTTGCTTTAAATTATATTTTTGTTTTTTTTAGTTATTTCTCTTTGTTTTCTTTTTTATTGTTTTTTTCTTCATTTTTTTTTTTTTTTTTTTTTCTTTTTTTTGCTCTAAGAGCTTTTCATTTCATTTATTCTATTTATGGTAGGGATAATGATTGTTTTTTTTGTTAGGTTAGCTGTATTTGTTTTTGTTTTTTACTGTTCTGTCGTTTCTTTCTAATTTCTTATTTTATAGTATGCTTCTGAAGATTTATTTTTTTTTTTTTTTTTTGCATCTTATTTCTTTTAGTTACGATTTTTCTTTGCTCAGGTTTTGCTCAACACACTGTAGTTTGTCAGATTACATTTTATTAGGTGCTTAATAGCTTTTTGTTATTGTGTGTGGTGTGTCGTGTTCCTATTTTTCTTTTTTTACTTTCTGTTCACTTTTGTTTTCTCAATAACACAGTTGTATTTTTTTTATCTTCTCTTTTTTATTTCTTTTTTTTTGTTCTTTTTGTGTTCTACAGCATTTTTTTATATTTGCTACAACCTTTTTCTTCTAAATGTTTTTTTGTTTCCGTTTTTTGTTAAAATATTTTTTTTTTTTGTTTATTTTTGTGAAGTATGTTTTGCTTCATAGTATCATTTTGTATATTTCTTTTTTTATGATTAGTTAATTTATTGAGGTGAGCCGGCTTTCTGATTGTTCTGTTTTTTTTTTGTTTTTTTTGTATCTATATGATTTTTTTATTGGTTTCTTTCTTGGTGTTCTTTTCATGATTCTGGCAGTCTATTTTCTTTTTTTTGTCTGCATCTTTTTTTTTTAGTATTTTTTCCTGTTTTTTTCCTCAGCGAGTCCCTTGCTTTCTTTGTGCTGGATTATTCATTGGTTTTTTCGCTTTTTTTTTTTTTCCAACTATACTGGATTTTTCCCATTTATATTTTTTGTATTCATCTCTTCTTGTATTATTTTCTCAGTTGTCTCGTTATCTTTTTTCTTCATCTTCTTTCCTTCCTCTGTTTTATTTTATTTCATTTATGTTTTTTTAGTTCATTTTCTTTCATTTATTTTAGTGTTTTTGACAAACTTGTGTTTTTTATTTTTTTTTGTTTATGTTAGTTTTTTTTTTTTATCATATTTGCTTTTTGTTCTTAGGCTGAATTTTTGTTGCATACATTTTATTTTCTTATTTAGAACAGGCAGATTTGTTTGCAGATTTATCTTTTAATAGATGCTTGCCTATCTTGATTCTTCGTTAGGTATTGGCTTGAACATTGGTTTCAAGCTTTGTTTGTTTGTAGTAGTTGACTGTTTTATTTTTGTTAGGAAGGTTTTTGTACGGTCTACTAATAAGTTTTTTGTTATTGGACTTATTTTATTTTTTCTTGTGTGGGTGTGTTATTTGTTTTCTTTAAGTATAGACAGGCATATTCTCTGTACCAGCCTGTTTTGTCTTTTTGTGTGTGTGTGTGTCACTTTTGGTGTTTTACTGCTGACTCTGCTTTACATTCATTTTTTGTGGATATCCAGTATTATGGATTTTCTGTGTTCAAATTCCACTTTGCTCTCCCTGATTTATCTTGCAAATTCTTTTTTTGTTTAAATTTCTTTTTTTTTAGCCTTTGTAGAGAAACACAATTTTTTTTTGCATATGTGTTTTTAGATTTTATTATTTATGGCCTTGAGTTTGTTCTAATTACTGTTTTGGCCCTTGTGTTCTGTAAGTAGTCTATTCTCCCAGAAGTTGGGAAAAATAGTCCACAGTTACCAGATTTTCCTTGTCTATCAAGTGAACAGATCTGTTCTCCTTTGACCATTTTCTTTTTGGAATTGGATGTGGTAGATGCATTTGTTTTTTTTTTAGTTGCTTATCATTGCACGATGCACATATTTGTCAACACTGTGCTATAAAGTTTGTTTATATGTGGTCATTACATTCCGGCAATTCATAAATATTTTCGTTTGCCGCCGTAGACATCCTTGCCACCTAAGTGAGTTGAGGCAATATCTTGTAATATATGTCTGTTTTGTATTTTTTGGTATGACAGTTTTTCTCCTTTAAAGATGTTTTCCTCGCTGCATTTATTTTAGTCATTTTTTGTGAAAAAAATGGAGAAACCCTCCATTGGAGGCATGCTGCTTGTTTGTTTTGCCATCTCTTCAGATGACAGTCGTTAGTGTATCTGTATTTTGTTTTTATTTTGTTTTTTTTGCAGGTTTTTGTTATTTGTTGTTGAGTCTGTTCTCTTTGAGGACAGAAGTGATCATTCACACATTTATTGATGCTTTCAATGTTTATTGTTTTCTTCATTAGTGTGATGGGTAAGTAAGCCTAGGCTCGTAGGGCATCTGCACTCAGTAAATTTTCCTTATTGTTTATCAGTAACAAATGTTTTTTTAAAATATATTTTTGCAAGGCTGTCTCGATTACGCATGCAGTCTTTTTGGGGCATTCAGTAGTGGAGCTTCTTGATAATACTTTCTAAAGGTGGGCTTGTGCTTGTGATCTGAATGACACCACCACTTGTCGACGTAGGTGTATTGTACTGGTGTGAAATGTTCTCAAACCCAAATATACGCTAGTAGTTCCTTCTCGATTTGAGCATATCCTTGCTTGTTAGAGTTAACGCTCTGCTTGCAGATGTGATTGGCTGTTTATCCTGCATTGTGTGGCTCCAAGGTCCGGTTTCTGAGGCACTCACATTGTATACCATGCTTGATCGATCAAAATATTTAGCGTTGCTGCGTCTGCAATAGATTTTTTCACTGACTGAAAAAAAGCAGTTTTATGGCTTTTGTAGTCAGAGGAGTCTATGTGAGTTAGCTGTTAGTGGCTCACATCTGATAAATGCTTGCAAACTTTGCGAAAGATATTTCACCATGCCAGGAATCGTTGTACTCCACGTATACTGTAGGTGTCGGCATGTCCTGTATTGCCTCACTTCTCTGGATCGACTTTAACACCATTTGTGGTAAGAAGATGTCAATATATGGTCCATCTGTCATTTTTAGTTTAACTTTTGCCAGGTTCAGTTTGATTTGTTTTTCTTATACATCTGTTAAGAATTGTATCATCCTTTTAATCGTCATCCTTTTGTTGCGGATTCTAGATCATCCACCTTCCCCAACTTTAGTTATATCGTCTGCTATTATTTTTACTCCAGACAGTCCTTCCAAAGCTTGCATCAATTTTTGTTGGAAACCCAACTTCTGGAGCCGCGGGCTTAATCCCATTGGCATTCTCATCCCACTAAGAGCGTCCAAATGGGGAAGAAAATGCTGTTAATAAACTTGATTCTTTATCCAGTTCCACGTGCCAGAACCATTTTTTCACATCACATACCGAAAATATTTTAGCCTTTGATAGGATCTGGTAGAGAATATCTTTCTATATTGGCATTGGATAGTGATTCTCTTTCAGGGCCTAGTTCAGACTGGCTTAGGATCAATGCATATTCCTTTCTTTAACTTGGCATGATGGTTTTATCTACTACCACCAAATCTGCTTCTGCCTGTCCTGGTGCTTTTCCTGGTTACTATGGTGGCTATCATAACCTCTGCTGTGCAAAATTCCTGCAGTTTCCTCTTTAAGAGCGGTAGCATTACGGCTACAGGTACTCTTCTTGTAGGCAGTCTGTGTAGGCTGTATTGTATTAATCAATTTCTTGTTTGTATTTTACCTTCCCTGGCAACCTCATTCCACCTTCATATATATCTGCAATACTCTTGTTTTATGTGGTGGCATATCCAAAAATGTAATCCTGCCTGTTTTTTGAAGGATTTTTGAGTATTCTCTCAGAAACTTCCAGAGCCCATGATGTTATGGGACTGCACCTTTATTAAGTCCATCGCCTGAACTCGCTTTAACTCCCAGCAAAGGAATGTGATCGTCCATACGTCCTGCAAACACAGTAAACTCCACTCTGTAGCTTTTCCTGTTACGTGGATTTTCTTAAATTTAGCTTGCATGTTTCCCATGGGTTTCAGAACACTTTTGTTGTATATGACCAGTAACCTTATCAGTGGGCCTAATGGGAACCTGTTTGTTAAGCAGAGTAAATGGAATGACATTGCAGCTTGCTCCACAATCCAGCTGAAATCTTATGGGCTGTTCATCCACCATAAATATGGCAAAGAGCTGCTTTGCATCATTGGCTACTGGCTGTTTGACTGCATTGACGTTCTCTGTTGCAGACTGCAGCTGCAGCCATGTGATGCCTCTCTGTGCTGTCCTCGTCTGTGTCCTGGGTCA